GGTGATTAGATGGGTTGTGTGGTGGTTGGAAAGTGTTAGAATCAATGGAAAATAATAACTTGTGTTTAGGGACATAAATGAACCTAGAGTGAATTATTTAGCAAAACGATGAGTAAAAGATGTAAAACGGAAAAACGGCACTTGAATTGGCCTCTTGGCAACCTAAGGAAGCATAATAAAATGAGAAAGAAAATTTAGAAATATAAATTCTAAAATAACACTACAAGGGCCGAACCATCATGGTGATGGGAAGGATTTTTGTGTTTTTCGCGTTTTGAAGTAAATTGACGTATACTGACGGCTGTACATGGTTGTATAGGTTGCCGTACGTCGACTTGAATCTAAACAGTGAATCAGTGAATTGCCCTTGGTCCTGGACCAAGTGGATTGAGGCGTTCTGTTGAGTAGCAGACTTGGAACTTAAGCTGCTGCGGAGCTAAGTGAGAAAACTATTTAAGGTAACCTCTTGGTACTGGGGCTTGTTCCCCTTTTCTATTCCACCTTGCCAGTTGATGGCAACGGTAGGAAGTGTATATGAGTAGTGTAGAACATATGAGCATGCATGCATTATCACAGTGGGTACTTATGTACCGAGTCTCTGGCCAGTAGATAGTTTTTCTTAGCCTTCGAGCAGTTTCGGACTTCCACTGGATAAGTCTCCGAGAGAGAGTTCCAGTTGACCGTGGGTCATGGTGTGTGATCCGGGTAGGAGCACACTAGGAATGTCTTTGGCGTTTTGGATGGTTGGGGCATCATGGTTGTGGTTTTTTTTACGCACCTTGAATGATACCCATAGGCTTATATATGCCAAGGGCGTACGTGGAATTGGGGTTACCATCCCGTATCGTCGTAGTTTGTATCTCTGTATTCCCCATTTCTCTAAAACCCTTGCTATATCCCGTTTTAAAAATTGGTTGTTGTATTCTATTCATATGCATCGAAGTGAACCATGGGGCTGAGTTTTCTCCAGAACTTCTGGGTTACTGAGATATATTCGTATATCTCACCCCGTCTCGGGGCATTTATTTCAGGAGGTAGCAGTGGAGCTGGAGCAGCGGGCAAGAAACCCGCAGAATGATAGAGGAACATTTTCAGTATTTGGCATATTGTTCATGTTGGCATGCCTAAGTCTAGTAGTTTGTATCATTTGAATTTATGTTTAAATTGTAATTGAAGTTGTAATATTGTAAAGGGTAATTTGAAGTTGAAGTCGTAAGTTGTAATATTTAAGTATATGTTGTAAATGTAAAAGAGATGCATGATGTACTAAGATGGAAGGATTTTAGGCCTATGTTAGAGTTATGGTTATATGCTTATATTGTGAAACTACATGTAAATGGGACCTTTGTGATTGAAACAAGTAAGGAATATAATGTGAGCTCTATAGTGTAAACTGTGTAATAAATATAAACTGGATTGGGTTGTAAGTGCCCCAAGGCGTTGTTGGTCCTTGTGTGTGCCACCCATTGGATTATTACTGTATTATTGTTGGATTATTAGGTACTTTGAGGCATTAGTGAGCTTGTACAAAATTGGGGATTATTGGAAAAACAAAGGAAACTCTGGCGAATTTTCTGTAGAATTTGCAGATTTTAGGTGAACTTCGGGAGAGCATATCTCCCTCTACAAATGTCTGATAGGGACGTGCCATATGCCATTTTTAAGCTTGAGATGTCCCCTATATGGTGTTAAAATATGGGCCAGTTCTGGGTTGTAAGAATCCCTGTGGAATGTATTGAGTTCGGACTGTCCAGGGACCTCTGATGCAGGGGCTGTTCTGGCCAGTTTTGGGAATTTGATTCCCGCTTCGTCTCTGAGTCAAATTGAGCGTGTGATACACCAAAATGAAGTTTGAGATGTCTAGTTTGTAGTATAAAAATTTGAGAGTAATTGGATGAGCGGATTGGGTGCAGTAATTCGAGAAGTGTGAGTGGTTTAGAGCTGTTTTGGGGTTGGTTGGCTATTTTGCTTATCCAACTTCAAACGGCGATAACCGGAGCAAATGAGCTCTGAATTGAGCGTGTGATAGCTTGTTGAAAAGGGAATTAAGTAAGACAAAGATATAATCTGAGAAGAAGGTCTGGTTGTGAGCGGTGTGTTTGCAGAAAATTTAGGAGTGAACCATGTTCGAATAGGTAAAAACGTAAAGTTTGGTAATTGGCTAAGTGGGTTTATGGGAACCCCTTAGTAACTTATAATAAGTATATTGTGATGTAAAAATAGATAAAATAAATATTCCGCAAGATTTAATAGTTATAGTCACAGCCTTTAATCATTACGTGTTTTATTGTTTTAAATGCTCGCGTAATAATCAGAAAAAGTTTATTCGTATTTTTATAAATGAATTGATGTGATTGTAACTGCGCTAATATCATAATTAATGTTAACAATACCGGTACGTAACGGGCTGTTACAAAGTACATCATATTCATGTCATCAACACATGCATCTAAATAAATCTATAAAAAAATCTATAATTCTCACATAAGTTTATCAAATACAAGTTATGAGAATTATTACACAATTAAACATAGTCTCAAAATAATATAACTCTAGCATGTTAAAACACTATATATGCTATCAAATAAAAATATCCAACACTAGTACTCCACTAGCCACGTGCCTGGTCTTTGCCTATGGAGGGTGATGGGACAAAAATTCGTTCCCATCTGAGCCTATTTTGTTGATAAAAATTCATCTATTCTGTTACCTGTATTCATTTTTGCTACTTAAAGATGTTCCCAAATCATGAGAACAAAAATACTAGAAGGGAACAGATGTTGATATAATCACTAATAAAGGAAGAGAAAAGGGAAACAGATTAACTTATTTCTACACCTGCTATTCTAACCTCTCCTCTGACTCTTTTGCAGGAAAAGTCTAAAAAGAAGCTTCTAAAAGCATAGAGAGAGTACAACAATTAAGCAGGATGAAGCGGGTACAGTAGAGAAGGAAGAGTGCTCATTGACCTAAAGAAAGGAAAAAATATATAGGTTTCAGAATAAAAAGGCAAAATTCAACCTAAGATGTCTATTCAAGCAACTTGCTTCATCTATCAGAGCAACAGTTCACCGCCTCTCCATACAATCACGGAACAGCTGAGGAAAAATCACAAGATTGCCGTCATCTCCCCCAGCCTATAAATAGGAGAGTCCCAAACGAAGAAAATGATCGAATTCCTTAAGAATATATCATAGACTTTATAGTTTAAAATTTCTGTTTTGTAACTTGTATAGTGTTTTAATAGCTACGTGACAACATCCTTCTCCCTATTGTCCTTCACCATTTGAGACTCCTCACGAGCAAACTACCATACTTCTCCATTTCGTTGCATGTTATTGTAAAAACTTGTACTTATTAATATATGTTTGTATTTCCATTCCCTTCCATTCGTTCTCTTCACTCTGAATCTCGGGTTTATGGGATTTCAGATTGAGATAACTATGTTTGTGTTTTCAACTATGGGCTAAGTTATTTTGGAATGAAAAATTATGAAGTTCTTAAAGAACTATGTTCAAAAATCTTGCATTAAACCATTTGTATTTCTATAATTCAAGTAATTTTAATTATTTGGGTTTCAATGGAAATTTAACGCAAACTGAGAAAGGAACTCGGGAGGGATTTCAGACAACTTAATCATATGAGGAAGGTAAGATTGTGGAAGCAATCTCATTGGTTGCCTTAGGAATAAGGGACCACCTTATTCTCTGAAGGTTATGAACTTAGTAACTGTTGGAGTCAAGGGAGCCATATGAATATGGAATTTATGAGCCATTTTAGTCCATGAGCTGAGGAATCAGAGTTGGCAGTGAAAAGACTTGAACAAATTCAGAAGGGTTAAGTCTTGAGTTGAGAACTTAGTTATTTAAGAATGAAACAGTGGATCTGTTCCTTGTATTAAAAATTGTTTCTGTTAACATTTCACCTTGTTGTCTCTTAATTATTGTTAGTTTTAAATTCTACATTTAATATTCTGTTATCACAGCACCAAACCTCCTATGATTTTTTCTTTCCTCCTGAAATCAGGAAGGGTTTAATATATAATAACGCGAGGAATTGTTTAGAGTCAATATGAATCTACTAACTTAAGGGAACGTCCTTAAGGTACTAGGGAAAGAAAGACCAAACAATTTAAAAAAGTTATTTTATGTATTTCAAATTCTTCTAGATTAGTTCAAAATATTATTTAGATTTACTATCCTCGTGGGAACGATAATTTGGGCACTAATAATCCCACTTATCACTTGATGTGTGCACTTGCGCGACTGGGTCAATATCTTGAGAACGAATGTGTTTTCTCTTGATAGACTAAGTAAGGGAAAGTCCTTCAAAGCACCTAGCACCCAACAAGTTTTTGGTGCCGTTGCCGGGGATATTTTACACTAATTTTTTTTTTGAAACTATTCTATATTGCACTTTGTTAGTATTATTCTTTATTCTTTCTCTATTTGTTAAACTGTTGATATTATTTACGTGTCATGGTTTATGTGTGAAGAATCTGAAACTGAGATATGTTTCTTTGATCCTGAACCAGAACGTACTTTTCACAGAAGAAGAAGAGATTTAAGGAGAAACAATTTAGAACAAGAAATGGCTAAACATAATAATCACAATAATGAAGAAATTCCTCCAGAACAACATTTCACAGCACTGGTTGCTCCTTCATGGAACAGACAGAAAGAGGGGTGGTTTTCCCTCCTGTTGAAGCTCTGAATTTCGAGCTTAAATCCATTATGTTTACTATGATTAGGGAAGCTGAAGTTTTCAATGGACTTCTCACAGAAGATCTATATACTCACCTTAATAATTTTCAATATATTTGTGATAATCTCTTAGCATAAGGTGTATCCAAGGAGAGTATGAGGATGAAGTTATTCCCTTATTCTCTGGGGTCAAAAGCTAAGACTTGGATGAAATTCCTTGCCTCTAGATCTATACATTCGTGGGAAGAACTTTCTGTTAAGTTCATAGAAAGATTCCTCTCTGTGTCCCGTGTGGCTGATGTAAGAGCAGAAATATCAAGCTTTAGAATGTTTTGTGGAGAAAATATCTATGAAGCATGGGAAAGATACAAGGACATTATCAGAAAATTTCCTAACCATGGGGTAGAAAATTGGAGAGTTTTACAAACTTTCTATAAAGGTATAGACCATACTTCTCAATCTCACATGGATTTTTGATATAAACCTCACCAAGAATAGTGAGACCCAAGACCAATTTATTTAGGATTGTTTCTGCAATAAGGAGTTTAAAACAAGAAATAAAGAACCTTGACCTGTTATCTATGGAAGATAAAAACCAAACGTATAAGAAGGATAAAGACGCCACACTCAAGAAAGAAGAAGGTTAGTGATAAGTCTGTGTTGAATGCCACAAAAATAAGCTTCTTGATTAATTCAGAGTTCTAGAAAAGAACCAAAGAGAAGAAACCTCTTTATTATATTATAACTTCAAAATCTGATTAGAAGAGTTGTCTCCTCCCTTATTTATACTTGGAACATCCCTCCAAGAATAGGAAAAGACTAACAAATAAAAAGACACTAATTTAAAGTTTACAACTTGGAAAAAGGAAAAGACTCTGATCAGCCCACTAAACATTAATGACATTGAAAATGTGAATCAACCCCACTAAGCATTAATAACATTGAAAATGATATCAGCCCCACTAAGCATTAATGACTTTGAAAATTGCTAGTTATTCCACTCAACCTCCCTTGCATTGATGGCATTAACTAAATTCTGAAGATGAATAAATTTGGACTTTATTGATGTCTTCATGATTAGCCCACATTTGCTGGATCAACCTACTAAGAACTTCTTCAAATTTCTTGGCCCTTGATCTTGTGATTTGCCTATTTGGCAATTGTAATGGATCACTAGGTGTTGTCTTCTTTTTTATATCATTCCCTCCGTCTTTAAAAGGAATTGTCCTCAAATCTGCACCTACATCAAAAGGAGATAAATCAAAAACATTAAAGGTTGCATGCACTAACACTGTACTCACTTGAAAGGTCAAGGTTGTAGGCATTATCATTTATCCTCTCAATCACTTGAAATGGTCCATCACCCCTTGGAAGCATTTTGGAACGTCTTTGGGCTAGAATCTTTCCTTTCTCATATGTAACCAAACCCAATCTCCTGGTTCAAAAACTACTTTCTTGCGCCCTTTATTGGCTTGGTTGGCATATTATTCAGTTTTCCTCTCGATGTGTTGCCGAGCTTTTTCGTGAATCTGCTTAACAATTCAACCTTCTTCTTTCCATCTAAGTTAACATGTTCACTTACTGGTAAAGGAGTTAAATCCAAAGGAGATAATGGATTAAACCCATACACAATTTCAAATGGTGAAAACTTAGATGCTGAATGCACTGTCCTATTATATGCAAAATCAGCATGTGGCAAACATTATTCCCATGATTTCAAATTCTTTTGAATCAAGGAATGCAATAATGCAGATAAGGTCCTATTAACCACCTCTGTTTGCACATCTGTTTGTGGGTGACAAGTAGTAGAAAACAAAAGTTTCATTCCTAGTTTACCCCACAAAGTTTTCCGAAAATAACTTAAGAACTTAGAATCTCGATCAGATGAAAAACACGTAATCTTAAACCATGCAATCTTACAATTTCTTTGAAAAACAAGTCAGAGATATGTGATGCATCATTGGATTTATGACATGGAATGAAATGTGTCATTTTTTAAAATCTATCACCAACCACAAACACTAAATCCTTGCCCCCTTTTGACCTAGGCAATCCTAAAACAAAATCCATGGATATATCTATCCAAGGTTCATTAGGTATAGGCAAAGGAATATACAACCCATGAGGTTTAACTTTAGATTTAGTTTGTTTACAAGTAATGCTTCCCTCATAGACTTTCTCCACATCACGTTTCATATAAGGCCAACAGAAATGTTCATGCTAAACATCTAAGGTTTTAGGCACTCCAAAATGCCCCATCAAACATCTCCCATGAGCTTCTTTAACAAGCAACTCACGCAATGAACTTTTAGGCACACACAGTTGTTTCTCCTTAAACAAATACCCTCATTTCTAAAGAAATTTCCAAATGCAGTTTTCTAACATGCTTTGAATACATTACCAAAGTCAAGATCATTAGCATACAAGTCCTTAATGTACTCAAATCCAAGCAATCTTGCAGTTAAAGTGGAAAGTAGAGCATACCTTCGGGATAATACATCAACCACAACATGAGGATTCATGATCTGTTCAGCTTGTGTTAGCCCCTCAAATGTGTTAAGGATTCATGATCTCTGTGAATCACAAACTCCTTGTCATATGTAGGTAATGTAAAGCAGCTCCACTTAACTTTTCACTAAAGAAAGCAATGGGACGTCCTTCTTGCATTAGAACAGCTCTAATACCTATTCCTAAGGCATCACACTCATTATGCATTACACGTCTATCAAACTGCCATGGACGCCCTAAGAGAATATGCCCAGCTTGCATTGGCATAACATCACATAACACCTTATCCTTATACTTTCCAATTGAAAATAGAACTACCACTTGCGTGTCACCTTGATTTCTGCACAATCAATCAACCACTATAGTTTATATGGTCTAGGATGCTTCAGAGTTGCTAAATTTAGCTTCTCCACCAAACTAGTGCTAGCAACATTTGTACAAATTCCCCCATCAATAATCTTGGAACACACATTGTCCCTTACATTGCATCTAGTATGAAAAAAAATTTCTTGCTGCAACTCCTTATCTTCTTTAACTTGCACATTAAGAGCTCTTCTAGCCACTAAAAGCTCTCCTTCAACTGATAATTCAATATCATTTGCATCTTCTAAAGAAGGCATGGATTCATTATCAGATTCACTTTCACTTTCAATATCACCATTATATTTCAAAATCATTACTTTGTTGTTTGGACATTAAGAAGCAATATGACCCCTTCCCAAACACTTAAAACATTTTATGTCTCTATTTCTAGAGGAATGAGATTCAGTTTTACCTTCGCTGGAAGTGTTTACAACTTGGTTGGTTTAGAGGAACCAACTGGAGATTTGAAATGAGGCTTCTCTTCATTTTTATTCCATGTTGGTCTTGAAGATGAAGTTGAATTCTGCCCCATACGCATGATACCTTTCCTTTTGAGTTGCCTCTCCACCTTTATGACCATGTGCACCATGTCATCTAACTCCAAAAAATGTTGCAATTCTATCACATGTGCAATATCCCGGTTTAAGTCAAGCAAAAATCTAGCCATAGTAGCTTCTAGGGGTGTTCATGAACCGATCCAAACCAATTCAAACTGCGGTGACTGAACCGAAAAACTAATAACCGAAAATCAAAAAAAAAACCGCAAATTTTAATTGGATTGGATCAGTTTTCGGATTGGTTGATGAAAATCGATCCAATCCAAACCGATCCAATATATTAATTTTCCTCTACCTACTTGGGCCTTTCCTCAATCATAGCACAAAAATTTCTAAACCCAAGATCCTTTAACCCATCAACTAAACCCAAGAAAAAACCTAGTCACAATTCATCAACAAAATTTCATCTGTGTAGAGCTTCGTATCTCATTGCCAAAAAAATATATATTATCATTTACTAATGCTTTCGTATTTCAAAAAACAAATTTACAAAGCCAATATATGCAAAAGATGTTATTTGTGCAATAATCATGAAACAAATTTTAGGATTTTCAAAAAGTCAAAAACCGATCCAATCCAAACTGAGAAAATTGGATTGGATTCGATCGGATTTGAAAAAAATCCAAACCGAATGGATGATTACATGATCAAACCAAAGGAATTGGATCAGATGAATTTTGCTTCCAAAATCGATCTAATCCATACCGCGATCACCCCTAGTAGCTCACGATCTTCATCTACATTGGCTCGAATCATGGCTGTCTCCATCTCCTTGAAATAGTCTTCTACACTTTTAGAACCTTGTGTGAGACTTTGTAATTTCTGAAACAAGTCCCTACAGTAGTGACTTAGAATAAATCGGCTTCTCATGACAACTTTCATTTCTTCCTATGATTCAATGGGTCTTTCACCATATCTCTTCCTGTTTGACACAAATTGATCCCACCAAACAATAGCGTAATCAAAAAATTTCTATGGCAGCCAATTTTACCTTTTTCAACTCAGAGTAGTTATAACATTCAAACAGCATCTCCATCTTTCTTTCCCATTCCAAGTAAGCTTCTGGATCATTTCTGCCTTGGAAGGATAGAATAGTTCCACGACCAATCACAGGTGGTTCATCTGTCCCTCTATGCATAGATACATTAACATCATGATAGGAATTGCCAACTCCTTCCTGACCCAGTGCAACCGGCTCAACAACTGGTATCAGATCCGCCATCTGTACGTCATGTTGTGGTGATGATGGGGTGGAGATGGTGGAGGTCCTGCTCATACCTCAGCCAACAGCAGTCTCATCATCTCCACGTTAGCCAATCTGTTTTGCGCCATGAGATCCTCACTGGTCTTCCTCATGTGCTCCATATCTCTATCTGGCCTCAACCATCCTCTGAAGATCAGCTTCCCTAGCAGTATTCAAGGTTTTCTGGAGAGTTGCTAGAACAGCTGCTACGGGATCCGGTGGTGGATCCTCAACTACCCGACGGGTCCTCCTTTGAGGAGCCACGATAGTTGCACACAACTACACAAGGAATAAGTTACCTACGCTCAATCAAGTGGTGATATATGCATTATCATAGTACTCAAAGAGACACTCAATAGGTAGTTAAAACTTAAACAATATATCATTGAACGTCCCGATGAAACTACTCTGATACCATAAATGTAACACCTCGCAGTACTCCGGTTGTTAACATACATAATATTATAGCGTACGTAGTGGAAAACTTTATTTTATTAAATATGAAATCATCTTATAAAAATATGAGTTAACTTTATCCAAAACATTTCCAAAAGTGCTCACATGAGATATTGCTTAAGCATAAATCTATTAACTAATCACATTAACCATTATTGATGGCCATTGACTAACCGGATATGATAACCGGATATTTTTGGTGGCCATTGACTAACGGATATCTGGGATATAAGAATCTCACTCAATAACATAATCCTGATCGACACAATTTATATAA